TTGAAAAAAAAGAGAGCGGAAGTTTCCTCATGGCTAATATTTTGCCGGCCGTAAAGCTGTTTTATTCGCGTCGAATGAGAAAGATCGAATTTAATAAACGGTTCGTTAAATTCTTATGAAGATTGTATCGTAAACTCTGATTGATTGTGTCTCGATTTAACGATTTATTTTTATAATGGCGAATTATCACACGGTATTACCCGCAGTAATGATCAGTAACGTTCATCTTATGTTACTTTTTACGTTGCATAATATTTTATTAAATGTAACGGTGTAATACCGATCATTATGATTTATACGTAATATTCATGCGTACATTTTCAATGGCGAACTGCATGTTTCTTTGACAAGGGAAATATGAAAGTCGATATGTAGCATATTATAGAGAAAAATCTGCTTCGCTCTCTCTCTTTCTCCCTCTCTCTCTTTACCGCACACGCGCTCATAGCTTGTCATTATAGAATGAATTCTTTTTATATTACGTTACACGATAAAGTCTCATATTTCATGAACGAGAAAGACTATGCGTGTCGCGCGCTTCAATTTGTTTTCCTCCATGTATGCCAGCTACCGCTATTTCATGTCGCTAATATACTCGTTAGATGCCCGAAACGAGATCAGTTTTTAATTCACATTCTCTCGTTCGTCGTTTGTCTGTAACAATATTATGCTAAAGCCTATCAACTGTACTGCCAACGTTTAACTGCCGTTAAAATTTAAATAAAACATTTTTTGGCGAGAATACGGGGCCGGATTTAAAATTCTAGTACGTTTCAAAACATTAAACGTTTCGCAACATTATTTTTTTAATTATGAAAGATATACAGCAAGAGGGAAAGATAAATAAATTGTATCTACATAAACACAAAAATAAAATGCTCTTATTTTAAAGTAAACAATTAAAATGAAGCGGAAGTAAATGCGCGATGATTTTTTCCACAAGTAACTTTTAACAACATCCAACAATATATTAAAATATTTGAAAAATAATTATGCTTTAAACGCACACAAGATAAGTTTAATACAAATTTTCAATACTAAAGAAAATAATTATAATTATAAAAATAATTATAAGACTAATTACAAATAAATGTAATTAATTATTAATTATGTAATTAATAATAAATGTAAGTAATTAAAAATAAATTATAAATAAATGTTTAATATCAAGGGAAAATAAAATTGGAAATTTTGAACTCTCGAGATCTCTCTCGAATCGTTTTGTAATCTGATCGGGTCACGTTCTGTAGTGTATCGCAATTTCAAGTTCACGTTGTGATACACGATAGCCGATGGGACGAAATGAAATTATAGTTCCAAACTCGTTTGCCATCCAATTAATTTCTTTGGGGACATCTTTCACTCTTCCATCTAACTTTTGCCGCGTCTCGCACTTTCGCGTAACACTTTCGGCAGTTGTTTATGAAGAGATGAAAGATAGAGACACTAATTTTCACGGCGGAAAAGAGAAAACGCAAGATTAATCGCATCTCGAATCTTCTCGGCGAAAACTTTATCTGCGATGCAAATTTTTTTTTTTTTTTTTTTTTTCTTCAAAACAGTGTTCAAATTTTGAGGCAGATGCGAGATATTGAAGAGAATGAAGATTCAGAAATATATTAGAGAGGAAAAAATGCAATGCTCGAATATTCAAGTTGCATCGAACGAATGGCAACTTTGAGACTCACGATCTATGAGTCTTATATATTTTCGCTGCATTGTAAGTTATGCGTTACTCTTGGACTCTTTCTCTGTGCATTTGTGAATGTATTATTATAGTGGTGTATCACCGTAGCAGCCGAGAGATTCTCGTATCTTCCACTATGCGATATGAAGTGTCTCCATTTTTCTTCATGAATGTAGAGTGTTTCGCAACTGTCACCACTACTCTTTTCATCCTTTCTCGATTGATGGAGAATCGCGATTTTTCTTCAACTAAAGTGTGCCTTGAGTTTTTCTCCAAGTTTTTCATCTTCAACATTTAAAAAGTATTTATAAATATTAAATTAAAGCCATAGGATTGCTCGCTGATAGCAAATTCACGTATTAAAGTTAAAAAATTGAGAATTTTGTTGATTAAAGTAAAAAAAAGAGGAAAGCTACGAGTCACATGCCTTTTTTCAATTTTATAATTTACATAATATCGTATTTAATATAATATTTTAAATTTTATTCTTTTTAATTTTTTGTAGCAAAATAACACGAATTATATTTGTTCCGCTATGCATTACAATCTTTGCATCTTATTTATTATAATTTAGATTGACTGTATGTGCATTTAAAAAAAAATTATATTCACAGATTTAAGTAACACAAAATCGAATTTTGATGAAACGACTTTTTTTCGCGCAATATATGTTTCTCCAGAAATTGGTGATGTCAGAGCCGTGTATATTTTACGAGGGTGCGAACGCAGAAAATATCTTTGGCAGATCCGCGTATCGAATTCGACTGCAAAGTTGATTGTAAAATGTAACGTCGCAGTTTGTCGGACGTTATTTCGGAATCTATTCTACGCTGGTGCATTCAGTTTGCTCGGCCGAAGTTGCACAAAGTTACGCCCCCGTTGCGACACTATTCCTAATAAAGTCCGGACAAAAACTGGGCGGGAGTTTTTGGAAAAGTTAAACTATCGAATTTAACGTTGCGATATTTTTCAAAAATGTCTCGTAAAACCATAATACACACAGCTTGGAAACTTGGGAAAAGTCGGGAAATTTCGTCGCAATTCCTGGCTGTTGTGTTTTTATTCGGCAAGATTTGTTTCTTTTCTCGTCGCGAAAAAGATGCTCTTAATTAGCGAGACAATCTCGCGAAACCCGACTGACTTTTCATTACGATTTCTACGTGTAATTCATTTATTTCTGCGAGTAGCGGATCTTAGATTTTATTGCACTCCTGGGTTTAAAAGGTCGAGGAACCTTTTGCGATAATTAAATGCCATTAAAGTAGCGATCGAAAGAAAAGAGAGAAAGAGAGAGTTAAATGCCTGTTTATGGCATGTCGATTCGATTGCGGAAAAAAATATCGTTGTTCATATAGGAACTCACAGTCAACCGTTTCGAATAACTGACAGTTCACGCGATTCGAATTGACGTCACGCGTGCAAAATATTAGTTGATAGTTGTGTTGGGTAAACATTGATCGTTGTGATATGGAAATCGTTTTCGGGTTGTAACGTATTATATTATATTTTGTGGAAACATGGTTGCGGTATTTCATGATATATATATTATTAAATTTCTACTACTAGCTTTTAGTTAGAAAGGGAAAGAGAGAAAGATCTATTTCAGTATATTTTAATGAGGGAACGTATGTATTCTTTTCTCTTATTCGATAGGTAAATCAAAAATCGAAAGAAACGAAATTACATTGAAATTATATTTCAGAATTGTCAAAAATAATTATATTTCAGAACGTTACAGAAAAGTTATATAATAAAAGTTATATAATAAAAAGTTATATAATACACTTAAAAAATTCTCAATTACAATAATAACATATTAATTGTAAGCTAGAGATCAGAGAGAATCAGAAATTTGGAGAATTATGAAAAATTAATTAGTAAAAATTTGCTTTATTGTAAAACATTAACCAACGGCAATATGTATATATATTTGAGCATTAGTATCATGTTAATATTATTGCGGATATCGCGGTAATTCGATAGGATGGAGGGGAATTGATTTCGCTTTCGCAGATCGGCCGATGCGCGTTCCGACCCCATCAATGAGCCATATCGGGGGCGCTCGAGTGCTTCTTAACGATGAGGAGGATCGTGCACCAGGATGCAGAAATATCGGGACGCACGATAGGATCGTGCTTCACGTTGGGAAAAGCGGCGGTAGCGGCGACGGTGGCGGTGTAAATCGGCCCTCTCACGCCCTTTCAGACAAGACGCTTTCCAAACTAACGTGAAAGTGCATTAAGCTATCAGCATTAGGCGTATTAATAATTTCGGGATTCGGAAACTCTCGGGAAAAGCCGTCGATGCTTCTACGCGACGTCAAGCGTTAAAGCAAAGAGATCTCGTACACGTGTGTGTACACAGGTTACCCCAGGAGTATATGACGCACTTCCCTAGAGAGATGTTATTACAGATCGATGTAAGAAGAATTAAAGCGTTCCAATATTATAATTTTAATATTACGCGCGAGATAATCAAACTTCCTGTTTTAATCAGTTTTGGAGGCAGATTTTTTTTTTTGATAAAATAAATAAAATTAATGTCACATCGAGTTTATTTATTGTAACGGTATCGATAATATTCTACATATTTGCGATAAACTGATAAAAAATGTTATATAAAATTAAAATAAATGTTATTTTAGTCGTTTAATAAATTGTAATAAAAAAATTAATGTAGTAAAAAATAATATAAAATTTTATTTTTTTTAAATAAGAAATTAATTTCAGACTTTTGAAGTAAGACAATTTTTTAGTATAATAGATCCATTTTAATTTTTCTGTGCATATAAGTTTTAAAATACAATCATGAGAAAATTGCAAATTTACAAGAAAATTTGTTGACTTATAATTTGTTTTTTAACAAATTTTTATGATATAAAATATCTTGTAAAATATCATTTCTTTAATAGCTTTGACTTTTTCCGCTACAATTTATTGAAACAGATCACTCGAAACAGATACATGTTAAATACATATTTTTTTACCAGTTTACCGCAAATGAAATATTGTATAAATACCGTTTCAAGAGAAAATAGCTTGTGTATATTGTAGAATTAAATATTCAGGGAAAAAAGCAAAAAAAAAATAGACTGGAAGAGAGGCGATATTTAAAACCGAAATTTAATTTCTATAGAATTAATTTCTCGAGTTAACCCACTTTTTTCCCCTCGAAGTAAACATTAATCTTAATTCTTCGGACGCGGAAGCCAACGCGTAATGAATTTATGGCAGGGTGGAAACGCGTGACTGCGTGACTCTTGCGATATTCTCGATATCGCATTCGAGGGCTGTTTCGACGAACTGTTACTTACCGTGGTAGACGCGCTGGAACTTCTGTGCTGTTTCACCGGCGGGCTACCCTGACTCGTCTGCATGTCGGAAGAATTTAATTGACGATTCACCGCGGGCGTGACCGGATGCTGCGCGGCTGGCGGCTCCATGTCGAGATGGCAGTGCACCTCCAGGTGAAGCTGCGCCCTTATCTCCTCCAGAACGATCTTGCGCGCGGCGCAGAATATTTTATAATACACCTGCGACACACAATTAATGATCCTTTAATCCGCGCCGCGCGTCCGATATGTATACATCATCCGGTCCTCGATAAGAAATTATCTCGAGGAGTATCGATGGCGGAGAGAAAAAGAGAGAGAGAGAGAGGGAATGTTCGATCGTCTCTGGTTGTTAGAGGAGTTAGTCGCAGTGAATGCGGCAAGACCTTCCTTCCAGGAAGCTTGACGAGCTGCGTAGTTCGTGGCAATTAACGTTAGTAACAATCTCTCAGGTATCGTTAACGACAAGCCGGTTACGACTCGGCGCGAGAAACGGTCGCGAGACGGGTCCATTTAGTCTTACTTAGTCGGAGTCTTAAATTCAATTAGCCACCGTATCCAAGGGACGGTGTCCCTTAATTTACACCGCGCGCGATGGCATCGGTCGGGCTTGTCGCAAGGAATACTACTTGCAACGTAACATTCGCGACGATAAACACGGTAGATATTATTATTATATTATTATACGAATGCGTTAACGCGGCTGATGCTGGGATACGTATTCCACAGAGATCGCGTTACACGCGAGATTGCATTATACGATTGCGCGAACGGTTTACCAGAGGATATTTTAATTCGCCTGCGACGGTGTGTGTGTGTGTGTGTGTAACGGTGTAACGGTCACGGAGTATGTAATGATACAAATTTTTACCGTGTAACGCGCGTGCGACGAAATTTCCACGAACGCTCCGTATATTTTATGCATGCAACTTTTCCTTCGTGGTGAATAAAAGAGCCGGCGCTTATAACGAGTAATGTAAATAACGGACAACACGACGATGCGCTCCGATAAATTACCGTAGCCGGGAATTGTCACGAGACACGACGAAATAATTTTACGCCGTGGCCGTAATAATAATAACGAGTAACGATGCGACCGGTATCGCGAGATTTTTAAATAATTTAATAATAGAGTAATATATACAAGAGTGCACGCACAGAAAAAAAGGTATATATTCTTGTTTTGAAAATATGTTTAGTTTTAACATGGAAATCTTGGAATGAGATTATATTGCGTTAATTAAAGAAAAATATAATTGCTTGAATAATTGCTTACTTGAATGAAGCCATTTTGCAGTTTAATCAAGAAAAATATATTCTTATGATTTAAAATTTAATTTTCTTGAATAGAAAAGGAACAATGTTGGATAGAAAATAACATTTTTAAATCAAAGATTATAATTTTCTTACAGTAGAATTAAATAATTATATATTCTTGAGGGGACAATTACAAATATTACAAATATTAAAATAAAACTATAATATTGTTGAAATTTAATTAAAATTACTAAATTCTTCTAAGAAGATTAGAAATTGTTGCGTATATACAAGACAATGAGCGCGTTAATTTAAGTATATAAGTTTTGATTTAACACATTTTTTTCTGTGTACTAAAATTATTAAATTCTTCTAAGAAAATTATAAATTGTTACGTATATACGAAACAATGACCGCGTTAATTTAAGTAAATAATATAAGTTTTGATTTGACACTTATTTTTTTTCTGTGCGTGTACTCTTGTCGTTATTACTGTAATTTTTCAGGAGACATCTTATTAAACGATAATATTAATATTATCTATGAGAACGAACGAACGTAAAAATATCGTGGCACGCGATGTTATGCTAATCCATCGATCTTATTCGATATAAATTTATTCAAATGCCGGATTAGAGTCGGTCTGTCTGCGTGGATCTCCGCGTATTATGGACGGTAACAAAATTTCTAGCTACCGCGCGTTTCCAGGAGAAAAGCGTTGAATATTAAGCGTCTGACGGATCCACCTCGATAAATTTTAAAACGCGCGCAAGATGATGCAAGATATACGCGTAATAATAATATGCATTACGTCCTTAATAAGGAATTATCTAATTACGAATTATCTCGCACGAATCGCTCGATCGTTAATGTGTTAATTTTGTCCGTCGACGCGAAATAATTTTGTCCCGCAAGTGCCATTTAGTTTACATTGTGTAATTTCATCCCCGCCTAAGGGGTTTGAAAGTGACTCTTTTAGTTCGCTAAAATGTTGCACGCGTGATGAATTTATCTTTCCGGATAATCGCAGAATCGATAACAACCGCTCGCGCGCGCGAGCACTCGCACCCACACACACACACACACACACACACGCACACGCACACGCGCGCACACACTCGTGACTACATGCTGTATGTGAGAGAGTTATAAAGTAGGAAGGCTCGTATCGTGCTCGTATGAATTAATGAAAACCCCCAACAACTACGCCCACTCGCTATCGGCTGAGTTAATCCACGTTAAGGGTTTCGTAAGCAAAGTCAACGACAATCTCACTCATTTTTAACCACACTTGCGCTTTTGTTCATTAGCTTTTAAATGAAAGCGTGCTTTCTCGGACGCGTTAATCCTGTTATCTGTTCTTGTATAAGATGACAAGAATTGTATTTTGGGAAAGAAAAACATACGAATTATCTCAAGCAAATTGAAATACATACTTTAAATAATTCAAAATATTATAGTAAAAAATATATGGAGATATATTTTAGATTACTTGCATAAATTTTAAATAACATTTAATTTAAAACCATTTTTATAGAAGATTATAATTACAAGTAGAAGTATCTGAAAAATTTTTTTTTTACTACGATAATATCGCATCTCTGTCTTTAATGCAATTTTTAGTTTGCAAACGCTTCATCTCGTTACGATAGATTCGATTGTAAAATTATATCCCCGCCGAGAGAATGTTAACTCTTCGCGTACGTAGCTTGCAATGCAAAGTTTGGGATACGATGATTAATCGTATTAACTCTTTAACTCTGCCTTAACTCGGGGAGATGGTGGAGGCGTTGCAACGCAATGCATATCGGGTATTCTCTCGTGGGAGAATCAGAAAACAGATTTTAAACATTTACAGAGAAAGATATATTATACACGTGTGCTTTGTTTCAATGCCATTTCGCAGGTAGAAAACTCATTTAACATTGTTTTAACTTGTTATTGCCCTCAAATATTTGATAACATAAAACATTACAGTTACAGTTATAGTTTTCTATTATTTCAACGATGATAAAACAAACATTACAGACTACTGATGTAGATTCATAATTCATAATTCATATTTTAATAAAATATATAAATATTGTTTGTTTAATAGAAATTTATTAATTTTTATCCGTTTAATCATTTATCTAGACATGTAAGGAAAAATTAAATAAAGACGTGAGTGTTAAGATTATTAATAATGATAAAAAAGTTAATATTTAATTAATTTTTCAGGTTAAACTATCCGAGGTTTTACGATAAAATTAATGAAATTTTTTTTTATAATAAAAATGAAGTAAGCTAAATTAGTTAAATAAGCGCATTTATCTAGATATGTAAGGAAAAATTAATTTAATTAATTAAATAAAGATGTGAGTGTTAAGATTATTAATAATAATAAAAAAGTTAGTATTTAATTAATTTTTCAAGGTTAAACTATCCGAGGTTTTACGATAAAATTAATGTGTAAATGGTAAAAATCTCTTTTTTTTTTAATAAAAATGAAATAAGCTAAATTAACTAAATAAGCGCATACTAACCCAAATCATGACGAACAGCGGTATGTAGAAACTGCCGAGGGTCGCGTAGATTTGGTAGAAAAAATTCTGGCAGACCGAGCAGTGCGAGGGCCCGGTGTCGGAATACGTGTGCTCGTTTCCCATTATCAGCAGGGGTGGTAGACTGATACAAGCCGCTCCTAACCAAACAAGGCTGACGTAGATGATCATCCGTCGCGGCGTCCTCTTAACCCCGTATTGCAACGGCTTGGTGATGGCCCAGAATCTTGGACATACACAGGAAAAGCGAAAGTGCCGAGGTAAAGAGACAGATTGGGGGACGTTCGTTTATACACTAGCTAACTAAATGGGAAAATAAACTCGACAAGATCTGTCGCGTAAGATGCTTGATGGGGGGGAATAAAGAGATGGTCGACGAAACCCAATTGTTTTCGCTCCCTTCGTCTTCGTGTGTATTTCACGAGCGTGTACATAAACAAGAACTCTGTCAACGCTTCGTAAGCTTCCGTAAAGGATCGGGGAAGGTTCTTGCGTTTCTCGCGGCAATTAACCAAACTAGCGAGCTGAAACGGTGGAAACGAGATTGGAAAGCATCTCGCGGTAGTATTCGCGGAAAACAATGGTGCAATCTAAATCCGACAGAACGGGAAAACGGTTATCGTTTCGCTCTCTGGTATTGTACAACTATTTCACGTCGCGTCGCGGATAAAACGAGTCCGCAATAAAATATGAAGGAATACAAAGGGAAAGAGGGAGAGAGAGAAAGATTACCAGTTGTATATTTGTGCAAGTAGGGTAATGTACAATGGGCCCGGCTGGAACCCGCATATTCGACGACATTTCCGCTGCAGGGGCAAGTAGGACAGGATGAAGTAGGCATGAAATCGGGCAAAGGGTCGAACGGATCGCCTGATTGGTTTCTCTGATCAATCATCAGCTTGCTAATATGCAAAAACGCTCATTATTTAATCCTTGAATAATCTTCTAAAGTTCAAGTAACGGTACAATTGTTTCCACAAATTCCAACTGAATAAAAATCCAATCTGAATAAAACGTGGCTTAGGATTTTCCTGAAGAAATGATCTAGGAAAAGAAAAAAATATCTTACGATCGAGGAATATCAAAGAAACGCGCTTACGTTAATTTTGTGGAAATGCGGTTCTACGAAATGGAAAATAAATTCCACGCGATATTCACGCTTAAAAATGTTAATAATGCACGAACGTTGGACAGTTTGCGAGCGTCAACGTCGCTCAGCGTTGATCGCGTTTAACCGCATAGTCTTGTACCATCAATATTATAACCAACGCGGGAATGGCTAATCATGGTTAATTAACCGGAGCTGTCGACGGCAACTAACCCTCACCGGCGAACGAGCACATCGATTTGCTCGCCCGTGATCGTGCGTGTTGTATTACATTATCTTACATTCCGCGATGTCGGAGGGTGTATCCGGGGAGAGAGCGTTAATCAACGAGGCGATTTCGATTTTCGTGAGAATACGATACTTGAGCCGTAACTCGTCGAATACCTAGATGTGGAGAGATAGAGAAAGAGAGAGAGGGAGGGAGGGAGGGAGAGAGAGGGACGAGCTGTCGGGATCGATACAAGATTAACTTGTTACTCACCGGTCCACGGATATCATGCAGAGATTGAGGATGCTGGCGGTGCAGCTGAGCACGTCGAAGCTGACCCAGAGATCGCACGTGAGCGAGCCGAAGGACCAGTTGCCCGATATCTGGTATAGCAAGGCCATCGGCATCACTAGAAGCGCCACGCAGAGATCGCTCACCGCCAAACTGACCAGGAGATAGTTGCACGGCTTCCGTAGCTTCTTAACGAGGAACACCGCCACGCACACGAGAATATTGCCTACCACCGTCCCGACGATGATGCTGCCGAGTACCAGAGTGAGGGCGATTGCCTTAACACAGCAAACGCATTTCTGGAGAATCGCTACATGTTGTGCCATGTAAGGCTAAGCAAATCGCATAGTGACGCAAACTCGCGAAATCCTCTTTGTACGTCGGTGAAATTTCATTTCGCGTATCCCTGTGAAGTTTTGTTTCATTATAAACAAAATGGATCGCCTATCTCTTTATTATACAAAGTTTCCAATTACATCACAAAATTAAAGTAAAACATTTTAAAATTAATATCCTATTTTTTATCACCATCATGGAATAAAAGATATTATCTCTATAAAATCGAATCAAAATCAAACAATCAATTATTTCTTTCGTAGACAAAATTATTGACACAATAGGTTAATATTATTAAAATTCTCTTCCGTGTTCGCGAATTTTAAATTCAGTTAATTATAATTGTATTCGTTTTGTTCTTTTTTTATTACTTTTTTAATAATTCTTTCGGTCTCCCATTCTTCTATCACATAAATAAAATAAATAATATACGTCTCATATATTTATTTACAAGGATAATACGAATAAATGAACTGATTTTTGTAATAATATATAAAAAGGATGGTCTTATGATTCGTCATGAGACTGATATTAAGCACTATATTTCCTCATCTGAAAATATTTTGTAAAATATAATAAAATTAATGCTTGTTTCAACGAATGTTAGGAGAAGGGGTAAAAGCAATAACTGAAATATTAAATATGCGTAAAGTTTTTACTTTGAAATCGAACGCATATATCGCTTGTCAAATAGCTAAAACTGAGAAGCAGAAACTCATTCATCTATAAATGTGAGGAGGAAGGAATAAGAGGTAATCAATTTCGCAGATACAGCCGATAAATTCCGCAGTGTTTTGGCGCCCGGCCAATTCCACGTGTTAAATATATTGCATTAATAGAAAGTGATGTATTCCCAAATAAAATTAATGGGCCGCGTGATCTATATATGTACATATGTGTGCGTATGTGTATCTTGTTAACTCGTCGCGCGAGAATTCTCGCTTTTGCTTTCCGTTGTATATGTATTGTATTAATTCGCATTACGGAGGAATCGAAACAATATTCCACAAAATGTTTGAACTTTCCAACTATGGCTTTATTACCTTCAGAATTTGCATCAACAATTCGAATTTGCATTCCGTTGGATACTACAATGCAACGCATGCTTTATTATTCTATATATGCAGTTTAATCTGGGCTTTTCGACGCCGGTATTAATACCATTTCGGGAGCATGCAGGAAATGTTGCGTTTTGTAGTTTTACAGCATATTAAATACAGTCGTACCATGTATGGATAAATATTACGTGCAACACTGAGAAAATTCATTTGATTGTATCAACAAGACGTATCTGATAGAAGGCATTTTGAGTAAAAACAGAATTTCTAATTATCACGATAAGACTCGATTTCTTATAACCAGAACGTTTAAAACTGCTTGTTATATTAACTAAACACAGTGATTTTTTGTTGTAAATTTAGTATTATTATCCAGAAAATTTGGTAAATTTAACAGGAAAAAATTAATCATATTCATCTAATTCCTGAAATTTTGATTCGTCCATTTTCCAACAAACATACTGGTTGAATCTATCAGATTTCTAATTAACGCAACCAAATTTTTTTCTCAGTGAAAAATAAGATGGATACGCATATAGTGGAAAAATTATGCAAATATAATGTTTAATGCGCGATGTATTAATGTTCCTAATGTCGAGAATTAGATATTATTCCGTCAACGTTTTAACCCCCTTTTAGTCAAACGCAATCTGTAACATTTGCGGAATATATTGTATACAAAGGTGTTCAAAGGTATACAAAGGTACACAAGTGTCGTATTTCGTAAATGGTAAAAGTCGGGTAATAGTGTCGGTAAGCCTCAAGTAAGCTTAATTGTTTGTTGTTCGCAATCTCCTAATAATCAAGAGTTGGTAGGAGATGACGAGGCAACGAAAATACGGCAATAACTTTGTGTAACATGTCAATGCAACATGCATCGTTTCTCCGGATTTGTGCAACGACTGCAGTTGACATAATGAATTATACTGTCATGCATGAAAATTAATGCAAATAAGCTATACATGCGGAATATATATTAATGAATATATCGGAATATTTTTATTAATAGATCGCATTATAATAAATTTATGAAATTTATGAAATTAATATTGTGATAGTGAGGGAAAGAGGAGGGTTAATAATTATGTCGTACCAATCTCATGCATCATGAAGTACATTTCTCGTTAATTAATCATCGAATTATGAGAAGAATATGTTGAAAAATGGAAAAAAATTAATAATATGCGCTATATGTTATTCAAACATTTTTGCAATATTCATTCGAAAACATTTATATATCGTAAAAACGTTCCGACTATTTATTGGGACGTAGCTTTTTGCATGTTTTTACCGGTTATTTTTCCGTAGATTGTCGATTAATCCGCAGAGCAACATGAATATAGGAAAAATGAAATATTGAATATAAGTCCACATTTATCAAGGCGATAATTTTTATTTTCGGACACGTAACGTGATTAAAACAAAAAATAATTTGAATATTTTCGTATTTATTGTTGAAAGTGTACTTTTGTTTACCATTCCCATGTTACATTTTCAATCGCGAATTGATCCTAGACGCGAGAGAACTGTTTTCCTATAAATATTTACTTAGATTTAAAAGAGCTTTCTCTGCAAACTAACACTAACTAAAGTAAACTGTACAAAAGTTACATGTTTGTCGAGATAAACGGTTAGGAACGAAGTAGGAATCATTTTAAAGAATTTAAAAAATAGTTATCTCTTACGAAAAAGTCGACAACATTTTAAATAATTACATAATATACTTCTTAAACTAATACTTTATACTAAAAAAGGTCATGCGAAATATTTCGAAAAGTTTATCGTATTCCCTCCAGTCTCTCCTGAAAAATGAATGGATGCCAACTCTAACCAGTAACCTGGTCGTTCTTTCAGTTCTCTCGTTTCTATACCTTTTCTTCTGGTCGCTGAGAGAAAGGATTTTTATTCTAGAGTGTAATAAATATCGCGACACTCGGTCGCTCTCGCCAGGCGCCGAGAGCACTTATCCCCCTCACGAAAGAAAGTTAATTCATCCGGTAGCTATGGTGACTTCGTCACGCGTCGCTTACCTGAATGGTGGTGTAGGGTGAGTTTTTGCCGGGGAAGACCCGAAAAAAGGATCCGTCGCCTCGCGTGGCGTTGTGAGTCGTGAAGTTTGGAAACAGGTTGCCGTCCGTGATGCTTACGTCCTGCCCCTCCATACGACGGCCCTAGCCGGAAGTAGTCCGGAGCATCCCAAGAGCCCCCCTCGCCGACGACTACGTCATGCTCCTTCTCTCCTCTCGACCACGGGATGCCGGGCAAGTTCGCGGCGTGCATGAGAATCCTTGCCTCGATTCCGATACGGACTCAGCAGCGGTTCTCCCTTATCCCGCTTAAGGTCCCGACCGACCCTTTCACCCTCTGCAAAATCACGTTCCATCCCGTGACTGACGAGCCTATCCGAGACAGGCGGAGCAGGCGATGGACAGGACAGGCGACATGGACAGAGTTGCTACGTGTATAAACTCGGAAATTCCGAGAAACCCTTGGCGTGAAGATGATTGTAATCCGTTGGCAAGAAAATTTATCGTTTTATTATTTGTATTTTTTTATCCTCACGTCGTATTTTTCCCTTTGCTTTTTATTTCGGTTTATATAACAATATCCGCTATTTTATTTTAAGCGATGTTTTTAACTTTCAGAAAGTGGAATTGCGTAGAATTATAAATGGTTTAAAATGCGACGAAAAATTGCATACGAAAAGTTTCGCGAAAACCTAGTTTGTAATCATTTTAGTTTATTCTGGTGCAATTTTTTTTTCATTTAATGATTAAAACTATTTCTTTAAACCGTGCTAAGAAAATTGTTAAAAAACTCTCGATCATTTATTTTCATAAAATGAAACTTTTCCGCTCGTCTGTTCTTGTTATCGTATTTATATAAGATAACACAAAATAAATGGGGTAACTATATAAATTTTCTATTTCAATTCTTGGCCAAGATGGAAAATTACAAATTATGTGTTATTTACGAATTTTTTTTCGGATTCGTAGCAACTCTGTTAAAAAAGAGACGATATAAAAGACGAGCATAAAAAAATAACAGATTTCCCTTACGTTAGGAAATAAGGCTGATGGCGGATAACGGCGTCCTGTGAATTTTCCCGACTTTACTTTTCGCCGTCCTTTCGGTGGACCGTGCCTGCCGATTCAGGAGCCCTCGGAAGGACCTCGGCGGAGGGTAATGGTGTGAACGGGGAAAATTCAAAAGCGTGCAACCGTATTCGCGCAGGACGCCATTATCGTACTCTACGGAATAGGAAGCTATAGTGCAAGTCCCTGCTGTAATCTTGCAGCGACGGCGATGTCGGCGGCGTAAATTGCTGACTTAAAACGGTTTTACAATGAAATTCCGCAGCTTCTCCTCGTCTCGCCGCGCCGAGATGAGAGAGAACTCACGCATTATCGTAACGACGGTGCTTCCCGATGGGAAACGAGAGTGTCGCGGGCGAGTGTCTCGTCGTCCGCAAGTATTGATTGGAATCGACTATTTAATGGTGAGGGAGTGTTTCGAAAGTTCTCGGAGAAACCAGACGCTGGATGCCGGCTCGGGAATTTTGTATGCGTTGTCGTCGACGAAATGGTTACGGGAGATTCGCGGTGGTCATTAATGATCTCTTCGCCGTCGAGCTAATTATCTCGTCGACTGCTTTATTGAATTCTGGCGCTAGTTACAGCGCGAGATTATTATTACTAGAATTATTACGCTGCAAAGTGTCGCTATCGTTTTACGTTAAACTGAAGGATCTTAACTCGACGGTTAACGACTCGGTTTTGATTGTTAATATTTTACGCGCGAAATTTACGACTCTCAAACGCGCGACGTATACATCTTCGGAGGAGAGAGAGCAACATTTTTATGTCAGGCATCTACAAGATACTCGCAAGCAACGAGATTTTACTCCATTTTTCAAGAGACCAAGCACGCGAATCGTTATTCGAATTATTATTGAATTCGACCGACAATGAAATATTTTCTCTAGACCGATAAAGGTAAAATTTAGATAATCAAGATGGAATCGAGCGCGAATTGTAAATTACAATTATAGTGCTTGATGCTAAAAGGATGAGGGAAAATATAGAGCGCGGTTAATCGCTTCGGAGATTGCATGGTGAAAAATATTTTGAGATATCAAATCAAAGTGCACGCAAAGCGTGCATTAGGCGGCACTTTATGAAGTAGAAGAAACTCCTATTACGTTGACGTGCTAAGCAGTCACGTGCTCCAGTTATATATAACACGCCGAGATCTATGAAAACATAATTCCTTAAATTGCCCAGGTAAATTAGATCGCATCTTGGAATACGAGATTTAAACGCATATCGTGTATATGTTTCGCAAAAAGAAATCGGGTTACAACTTATTAAACTCCGCAGCGTCCTTTATGGCGCTCCTTTATCTCAAAGTAATGTTGCGGCTCCGTTGCATAACACACGGTCCGATAATAATTGAGAATAGTTAGGACGGAAGTTAGTTAGCAGCGGTAATTAGTCGGATGACTTTATAGTTGACCTTAGAGCGACAATAGACCTAAGATGAACTGCACGTGGATAACGGTAAAGTTTTGTAATTAGCGGAGCATTACATCACGAACTTGTGTCTGACTGACTAAAATGTTTGATTGGATTCGCAATGAATCGCGGTAAAAGTTCTTTTCTAAGGGAACCGACACGGAATAGACACGCTCTTGGAAGATACTCATCTGGAATTCATTTTTTTTAAATATTCCCTCAAAAATCATATCCGTCCGAGCCTTCGAGAAATATCCTTAAAGTAATTTTCCGAATATCCTTAAATCCTTTCTTTCGACGCTTGAGGAGAACCATTGTCGTTCGTTTATCGGAAAAGTGCCGATGATCTCTTTCTTATATCCGAAGTAATGAGGTCGAACGAGAGATCGCGTCACATAATTTTGCAGAGGTGAAAATGAAATCCGAGCCGATAGTCGATAGTCCATTGGCTATTTCAATCTCTTGAGGATTGAAGAGCCGCGCTTTTATTCCACCTGAAATCGAATAGAGAATGAACATTGTAACGGTAATAACTTGAATTCATGCGAATTCATCAAGATTCGTAGAATATTCTTCCGGCTTGTATCCGATTTAGAAATGTAATGGCGTACGAATGAATGCGGAATACGGAGTGGAATTATATCACGTAACCGGATTAAAGGAAACAATAGCCGAAAGTAACCGTTCATCCCGTTGAAGCTAAATCGCGATAACCGCTTGCATTGTGTACATAGAATATCTGGAATATTTGGGATAAAGATATAAGCTACGGTAGCGCACTTTTATAGCATTATTTTAAAAATATGAGCAAAATAAAATTTCATAAATAAAATATTCAAACTGACAATTTGATATCAAATAACAGCGATAGCGGTATAATAATATTTGGAATAAACGTCAAACAAATAAGAACAGATAAGCGAGTAAATAAATCAAATAACTCGCGGAATAATCTCTTCTATCTGCTTATCAAACTCGGATCTCTTTAATTCGCTTGCTAGAGAAACAAATCGGAACGCGCTCACCTGGCGACTTGTGTGTAAGAAAAGAGGAGGAGGAAATTAAAGTGAATTCAATTTCACGCAAACTTTTTCTCGTCACTTTGCGAATGCCCCATTCAGAAATAGTAGCAGCAGTAACGATGGCATGGAATTACACTGGCTGTCTAGTATAAATGAAAATTATATGAAAAATTCTGGATATATATTTCTCGTCGACCCGATAGTCTGAATATTCCCGTAACACACAGCTTTAATTTATTTGACGTGCTTTTGCCGCGTAGAGTTTTCCATCGTTCGCGTCTACCATGAGTAATCGTCGCCCATGCGTTTGCCCGTTTTTCTACGCTGTGTGTTTTCTGAACTGTTCCGCGCTTGTCTCAATGTTTCGGTATAAATTGTTCGTGCATTTCGCTTTGCCACTGCCGCGCAGAATGCACTCTCTCGTAATCGTCGGCGAACTTCCCTATGTAATCGTCCATCGCCGTTTCGCTCCGAAAGTGAAAAACGTGTCGACCTCTCACCGTATGATAAATTGTATCGATACCGAATGCCTCGGCCATTATTTTTTTGCAATTGCACGCACACGAAGGGTGCATCTATTGTGGCGCATTTCGCGAGGGTGATTTTGTTTAACAGGAATTGGAGGGAACAAAATTCAGGGCAGATTGAAAAATCGATAAATACAGAATGCAGGAATATAATACAGACGTAAATATACGATCATAAATTTAATCGTCATTTTTTGTGTCGTCTTTTTTATTTTAAGCGAATGTCTTGCGATAATATTAGAAAGCCCGTAACATTAGTTAAAAAAATATCTGAGTCTCTTGAGTGAAAATTGTGGCGAATTATCAATTAAATCGAATGAAAACAGAGCGGTGCGTTTGTTACCGATGCAAAATTTGTATGTGGCAGATCGCACAATTAATCGATCGATTTGTAATGTTATCCCGTCTACTCCTGCTATCAATTCTCATTTAGCTTTATCATGCTCTCAATTAAACGCAGCAAAAGCAAAAAGCCGTCGACTCGTGAAAGCGCTCGCTGTCTGGTCGTTATTGTTCGTCGTGTCTATGTGATAACACAGATTAATGTCTCCATGCATGCATTTCCGGTAATTAAATTTATTGTTTTTTGTTATTTATATGATTTTTCATATACGTATTCTTAATTGTAACAAATACATATATGAAATTTAAGAGCATTTTAAAAAATAAAATACATTAATTCTTTTTCATGAACTGGTTAATATTCTAATTGCATTTTAATATTTTATAAAATAATGTTACTTTAATAATTTATTTTAAATACGTAACATAAAGTAAATCATAAAATATTAACATTTAAAAAGAATAAATTTGTGACTTGATATTGTTGAAAAAATAAAAATTGCCGTTATTATATTATACATTATGGGAGGTCTGTCTATATTCGTGACGGAAATTCAGATATACATTTTATATATACATAATATTGGAATATATTTATTATACATGTATATATTTAAAAAAAAATATAATTTTCTTGAATTTTCTGAAATGAAATGAAAACGCAATTATATATAAATAAATAAAACTAAATTTTTGTATTCGTTTTGCAATTTTTGTGTATCCTTATTGTATATAAAATATTTCCCACAACATTATTATCTAGTTAGTTATCAAAGTTTTCGAGATACTAGTTTTCGTATACTGTTGTGAATTATACAAATGTTGGAGTTTTCTGCGAAATTCCCTCATCAAAAAATCGTTAACTAACATCTACACTTGGTAATTTTAATTAAATTTTTTCGATGATACTCCTGCAAAATATATTTCTTATTTTATCTTCATGCTTGTAGCATTTATAC